TAATCAGGAGGAATCTAGGTCAAAATCAAAGCAAGACTGCTCTGTCCATTTGACAAAACCCACATGCAAACACAATACTCATGTAAAAACAAAGAAGTTATTTGTAGCAGTTATCTCTGTTAAGATTGCTAAACAAGCATGCAGACATTGGCCTACCTTGAGTAAAAGGCACTATTCCTTCCCTGTGACTTATGAAAAGGCATTCGAAATCAATATAAAATTGCAATATTAGTAAATTTTATAATCATTATTTCAAAAAAGCAGACTTGAAAGGGTGTCTTGTTCATAGGTAAATCTTCAGTTAGTTTTTCTAGTACCAGTGGTTCAATCGAAAGATTCGCCAACTGCCCCCTGGAGAAAACTGAAGATCTGCATTTAAATGGAGATATAGTATTTCCAAATGCACAGTACCTGCAAGGCAGATACTGTCAAGGTTTCTTAGTGAGTGGATCTCAAATTGTATTAGGTACATTTCAGTGCTGTAACTATACCCATTTCGTAGGACTGGGGCTATTTCCATATAATTTTTTTCCTGTGCGCATGATTTGTAATATTTGTCCTGATAAGACAAAGTTAAACCCCCAACCACAACAAAGCCCTCACATGCCAACAACAAGGAATTACAACCTTATGCATAATTTTCTGATAGGGACGATGAAGACTGTATTAGATGGCTTGACTGAAAACGTTAAATAATTGAAAACTCTGATGACTTAATAGAGTAGTAAGCTTGGTTTACAATGCAGCCAATTTAGAGCCATAAAAACACAGTGTAAAATGTTTATCTTGTGGTTGACCATTACATATCCTATTTATTATTCCAAAGTATTTCAACAGCATTTTTCTTCATCAATGTGGCTGCTGGCATTTAGCACCCACTTGCTAAATGCACGTGATTTTCCTGGAACAGCTTTAGGAAAAGAAAATAAAAAATTAGCAAATCACTACAAAACTGTTCCTTGTTACAATATGCCTCTTTTTCACATTCTGACTTGAACCGACTTCATGTGCTGCAAAGTACGTTCAAAACCACTAAGGCTTAAATATAATAAATCAAAGCCGTATACATGAAGCTAAAAAGACTGGTGCAACTACTGATCCTGACACATCAGAGAACCAAAAAAAAAAATCAAACCTCATGAATACTTTGTTGCTAATGTACACCAGTTCAAAGAGCAATGTTCCTCTTAGGAAAACATCTTAATTTTCATATCAGAAAATCATCCTAACCTTCCAGAAAAGTTTTTACGAGTATGAAAGGAAGGCAGAGAGAAGGTTTAGAGTGCAAAAGGCACTCGTGATGGGTTTCAGACACGCAGGCATTAGTCCAGGCAGCCTCTCTCTGAAATTCAGGTTGCAATTGAAATGTCCCTGTAAACAAGGTTACTGCAAACGGCCCAAGATATCCTTCTCAGCAACACCTTCAGCAGGAGCCCTTCAGCTGTCTACTTAGTTTGTTATACCTTATCTCACAGCCCTGACATCCTAATGCTGATTCAAATTCGGGATTCAAAATGAAAGACGAAATATCTCCAAGATCACTTAATATTGAAATACTATTGCAGTAATAAGTGGTGCCAGGCTGAAGATAGGGATATAGTACTCTAGTGGTAACCTTTTAATTTCTGACAAAATACTGTGGAATAACTGTGATACTGCACACACAGTTAATGCAATCGATTTGTTTTCCCTGTTTTGATAATGAGCGCGCTGAATGTCGTGTTTACCTTCTCCTGCCCCTGGCACATTTTAAACTGTAAAGTCCTCTAAAAGGAGACAGGCCAGATTCCTATACAGACATGAAACACCTCACACCACAGAGCCCCCCTCCCCAGCATGCTGAACCACAGCTACCTAGATGCTCTCACACAAGAAAGATCATAACCACGAGTCGCTTTGTCATTCCAAGTCTTTGGCTATTTTCAGTGGAAATGCAATGCGTGGACCGTGTACAATGTAATGTAGGTTAAAGTGTAAACTACTCTCATTCTGAAAGTGAGGGTAGGTATGCTACACTGGAACATTTTGATCTCTGAAATAAAACAGGGAAGTAACAATGAAATGTATCAGGCAAGTTTTACACTTTGTATTATAAACAGGGTGGCTAATAAATACTTAAAACTTTGGTGGGTTTATACAGCGGCACTCGTATTTCCCTCCCGGTCACAGACGGTGATAGGTTGAAGCAGGGCAGGGGGTCAGCTGTTTTTCTGTTATGTTATGTTGGCTATTAGGTTCTCCTTAACAGTATGAAAAGACAGGATGGGGGGGAGGGGAGTTGAGACAGGGGGACGATATAGGAGAGAGGGAGGATTACAGGAGAGAAACCTCAAGCAGCTCAGTGCCTGCCTTCCCACACTACCATTCACCTTCACTTTCCTCTCCTTTATATTCTACTCATTTTTACTTGCCTCCCCCATTATTTAGTCATCCCTTAAATGCAGTCCTCTATTCTTTGGGATCACGAGAAACATATTAACTAGACCCAGGACTCGGAGAGCATCCCCTTCAGCACTTCAAAATATACCTCCAGACCACTCGCTCCTTCATGGCATTAATGTTCATGGGAAAATAAATAATAAAATAAAATTAAAAAAAAAAAAAAAGAGAAGAAAATCTCTCGCAGCCAGGTCACATTCAGACCCCACGCGCAGCCGCTTCCCCAAACCCCCTTCCTCCCCAAGGCCAGCGCTAGGAGGGCCAAGTGCCAGGAGGAGCGGGCACTACGTGGACTTTGCACACTTTCCTTCGCCCCTTGCTGAGCCTGGGAGCGAGCGGCCCCGCCGCCTTTGTGTGCGCGTGTCCGCCCGCGGGTCCCGACAGCCCGGCACGGGCGGAGCGCGTCCCGCGTGGGGCGGCCACGCCGCCACTCCCGCCGCCCGGGGCCGGCAGCGCGGCACGGTGACCCCCGCCCGGCAGGCAGGGCTCCCCCCGGGCCTGCGCCGCTCCCGCCGGCCGCCCGCACAAGTGTTCCAGCAGAGAGCGAGCGGCGGAGGAGGGAGGGGGACAAGGACGGGCCCCCCCGCCGGCCTCGCCCCGCGCCGCAGCCGGGACACTTCGGGGCTCCCGGGGGGGACACGGCGGGGGGGTCAGGGCGGCACGGGGCAGCAGCCGCGACAGTCACAGGCGCCCCGGCACAGGCTTGGAGAGTCCAGTCCCCCTTCTCCGCTCGCAGCTGCGGGAGCCACCCCGGGACCCCGGCCCCAAACTCTTTGCTGGCTAAAGCCTCGTCACTTTTCCCAGCACTCCTGACCCTGGGCGGGAGGGACACACGCACATAAAATCTGCCGGGGTAGGATCTGTCAGCAGCAAAAAAAATCATCCTGCTTCCCTTCTTCCCCCTACACCACCCCCCCACGCACACACACACCCGGGCCAGTAATTCTAAATAATTGTCCGAGAGGCGAGAGCCACTGAACCCTGGGTGGCTGGTGCCGTCGTGCAGCTTTTTCCCAAGGTGGGGTTTTTTTGGGGGGGGGGGGAATGACTCTGAGCAAGTGCAATTGGCAAGGGCTGAAGGTGGAAGGGGGCGGGG